AGTTCCTTAACAACAACCCAGTCAAGCTTGCGCCAACGCCATTACCCTTGAAGAACGTGACTAAGTAGTCCCAAAGACTTCCCAATACACAGCACAGCCAAGACTTCAGGGTTCAGGGCTTAGGGTTTAGGGTTTAGGGTTTAGGGTTTAGGGCTTAGGGTTTAGGGTTTAGGGTTTAGGGTTTAGGGTCACAGGTCACAAGACATCAAGCTTCAATTGGAAGGAGTGAGAAGAAATTTCCCCAAGCTTGTATGACAGCAACTCAGCCGCGAGCTGGACAACGGGGCACTCAATGGTAATCGCCTGGCATTCCCTGGGAAGTCCCTAAACCCAAAACCCTAAACCCTAAATAGTAGTTTCCATTTTGTTTTCCATTATCCTTATAAGATATTTTCCCTATATACTCCCATGGAAGTGAGCATTCTGTACCAGTGCTAGGGCAATACTAGCGGTACTGCTTTTGAGGTTCTTTATACATTCTACAACTGATTGCTGTGAATCTTGCTGGGTGCTTGGGTTTCTGGGCTTAGGCAAAACAACTCGTCTATCTGGCTCGTTAGGGTCTATGGTTCAGGGCTGCTACCATCACCTCCTGATGGACATTCTGAAGCCCACCTCATGCCGGTGAGAATCTTTTATACGGATGCCAGGCACTTGCGGATGCAGAGAATAACGTGTTTGTTAGGTCGACTCCCAGCCTGTAAAAGTGACTATAAAGGATAAGAACGATTATTTAAGGGTCCTGTTATATTCCTAGTGTACCACTTTTACAGGGTAGGGGGTCCTCCTAACGTATACCCTAAACGCTAAGCCCTGAATGGTAGGTTCCTTCTTTGTTTCCATTATTCCTATATAAGCCAACAACCTGCAAAAGTTACCAGTTCTTGGAAGCGCTTACCCCAACCCTAAGGGTCCACGTACTCAAAAGATAATTTGGGCCCAAATGGGTTCCTACATTGATGCTCTGGGCCCAAATAACATTCTAATTAGGTACTTGGACCCTTAGAGCAATGTAATGGACCAACAACGTCAAAGCCACAAGCCGCAAATGCCGCACGATCCCCAAATAATGTACTGGTGGTTAGTATCAACCCTAAACCATACGTGTATGTGCGTATATATATATGTATACATATACATATATTCCCTTATTCCCTACTAACCCACGGTAAGATAATCGGTAAGCCCTCCAGGCTGCAAAAACACTTGCAAAGATCCAAACTGCCACAAGAAGCAGGGAAATAGGGATATATTGGGGTAATATTGGGAAAATGGAGAAGAAAATGGAAGCTACTATAGTATATTAGGGTTACATATTGGGGTCATATTGGGATAATGGAAAGAAAATGGAACCTACTATATTCAAATAGCATCTATCTCCTCTGCAACCTTCTACCCGTTTGGGGCTTAGAGTTTAGGGTTTATATCCCCAAGCCAAAAACCTCAACTCCTAAAACCCGAAACCTAAAGTGATAGGGCATAGCATGTCTGCAAAGTGGACCAGGAAACAGTTTAAATGACGCAAATATCGCAGTTACCACAACACAGCTGGTCGGTCCCTGAAGCAACTGAATATGTTGGGGTCTGTATTTGGGGCCCCATAAAGCCATGTGTACAGATTTTTATCTCTCTCTCTCTCAACACTGGCAGGGATTGTTCAGAAGTATAAATACATATAATACCAACACTGGCAGGGATTGTTCAGAAGCTGTCACTCACCACAAATATCTACAGCTTACTCATCGTGCTTGTAGGCTCCGAATGATTGTAGGCCTGGAGAACCAAGTCAATGCTTTTTGGCCGAGTCCCGTCGGCGGGTGCGAGTTGCAGTTTAGCCCGCGAGAAGTTGGACTAAACTTGATTAGGCTGATGACTGTACATCGGCTTAGCGCATATCAGCCTGGAGGCGCCCAAGCCTATTGACGGCCCGACACGCAAGTGCCTGAACATCATCAACTCTGCCACCAATCAGCGTGCTTATCTCGCTTGTGGGCCACATGATCCCAACTTCCGCATGTTTTTTTGATTCTCTATTGCTGGCGGTATTATGCCTATGTCATACCTATCGCTGTATAACCCCTAGATAAGCCCCATATTAACCCAAAAAATACGGACTGCCCACATGTTTTATCAGCTGGGCTTGTAAACCAGAATTGCTTTCTAAAGCGCCTGCTGATACAACTGGTTCAACCAGGTTCCGCAAACACTTAAGTACTGCAGGTGGTAATTTGGATCCCTGCTGTCAACAACATTACTGTGACTGCTGTTCTTCCTAAACCTTAAACCCTTACCCACTACTGTGGTCCTCAATCCCAGAGGCCCAAAGCGTGGTAGCGGCCGCCAGGCTCAGACCAAAACTTGGAATTACAGTTTCGCCCAGCGTGTAGGGTTTAGAGTTTAGGGTGTAAGGTTCAGGGTTTACGGTTCAAGGTTTCGGTGTTTAGGCTTATAGGCACCGGGTCAGGCTTTGGGCAGCTTGCTAGCTCCTTTTTATGCTTGCAATCTACAATGATGGCATAAGGTCCTAGAATGTATGCGCGTCCCCTCTCTCTCTCTCTCTCCTCTTCTTCTTCTTCTCACTCTCTCTCTCTCTCTCTCTTTACCGGTGTAGGGCCTCGCTCTCTCTCTCTCTGTCTCTCTCTCTCTCTCCCTCTCTATGAATATATTTATATGTATATATATATATATATGTGCGCTGTAATGTGCACATCTACAATGTGCAGAGGGTTTAGGAAGATTGTACTGCTGATTCGAAAAATCCAAGTAGCTCAGGAACAGAAAGGCTGGTGGCCTCGTATATCTGGGTCATGCAGGACTTGGTCTATCAACAGTACTAGGATGGGCAGGTTATGCAACAACTTTGGTAGCATTTTAGGTGAGGCGCCATCTTGGGGGGACGGGAGGAAATCAGCCTCATCATTGAGAACTTGGGGGCCTCATAAGATCGCATCCAGGCTCGAACTCTACACCCTGTAAACTGCCTTCTCTGCATGCGCAGGTTCCCAACCATTTAACACCCTACCCTTAGGCCCTAGGTCAGAAATGCTACAAATTCTAGACGCTGGTCCCTACAAGCTTTGGGGTATTTGACTCAAGGTTGGTTGTGCAAGGAGGATGCTAGGATCTAAACTTGGAAAAGACCCTTACTAGGCGAAACTGATGAGAGATGCAGTGGCAGGGCTTCAGCGCAACCTCAACACCAGGTGGAGGGTGCTCTCCTTAGCTCACTGTAAAGACCCCTCATCGTTTAACCTTTGATCTTGCCTTGTTTTCAGCTTATGAAACACAACCAGTCAAAGTCATAAAAGTCTTGCTTAAGCCCGCCAGAATGCTTTCTGGATGTTATAATCCGAAAGCGTGCGGCCATCTTCCAACTGCTTGCCCGCGAAGATCAGGCGCTGCTGGTCGGGGGGAATTCCCTCCTTGTCCCTGAGATGTGTCCATGTTAGGAACTTCATCAACACGAAAACCAAAACTATGCAGTGACCCCCAAAAGAAACCGGGAGGCTGGATCTTTGCCTTCACATTGTCGATGGTATCCGACGCCTCAACATCGAGAGTAATCGTCTTGCCCGTGAGCGTCTTCACGAAGATCTGCATGCCACCACGGAGCCTCAACACCAAGTGGAGCGTGCTCTCCTTAGCTCACTGTAAGACTGTAAGACCCCTCAACGTTTAAACTTTTGATGTTGCCTTGTTTTCACTTTAAGGAACACATCCAGTCAAGTCCTAAAAGCCATGCTGAAGCCCGCCAGAATGCTTTCTGGATGTTGTAATCCGAAAGGGTCCTGCCATCCTCCAGCTGCTTGCCAGCGAAGATGAGGCGCTGCTGATCGGGCGGGATGCCCTCCTGATCTCTCAAGTGTGTAAGGCTATGCAATGAACAAAAAGCACACCAGCATGCCCGGCGCCAACACAAAACTTTGCAGGGAAGGAACAAAAAAAATTGCAGATCAAACGAAAACGACCCGATAGCTTAGTGTGGGCAGGGTAAAAAAAGTTCCTTGTCTTGGATCTTTGCTTTGACGTTGTCAATCGTGTCCGAAGCTTCCACGTCGAGGGTGATGGTCTTGCCCGTCAAAGTTTTGACAAAGATCTGCATGGCTCTCTCCCTCCGAATTTCCGAATTGAAAAGGTCGGTAATGTTCGTACAGGCTTGCCTGGTCGTGCTTGATCCATAAGCAGCGCCAAGGGCGTGTCCAAGGCTTGCCGACTGCACACATGACCCTCTCCACCGTAGACTCCCAGACCCCATTCCAACGATAAGCAAGAAAGCCATTAAACTACCGAGCAATTTTGAAGGGCTCCAAAACATTCCGAAGTGAACTTGTGTGCACATTTTTCATTCACCAGATCTGCACACCAACAAAATCCAAACTCCTTATGAACCAGAAACCCTGAGGCCTACCCATCCGAGGAGCCTCAACACTCAACCCTATACATCTCCATGTACACATTCAAACCCCTATCTACTCCTATGTACCCCTGGAAAGCCAAAAAACCCACCCTACCTCGATCCAAAGCAGCGCCACAAGAAGCATTCGCTGCTCGGGTTGCTCCCTTGCAAGGTTTAGGGGCCTTTTCAAGGTCACTGGTATATACACATAGTTAAAAAACTATACAAATGTAAGGTTCAGGACTCAGAGCTTAGGGCCTCGTGCTTACAGGGATTTGGGGATTTGCGGCTTGGAATCCAGGGGTTGACGAGCGTGGACCCGCTGGAAAGAGGAGCATTGTCATACCCAGCGGTCCTACGTCGAAACTTGTCCCTGACAGCATGAAAGGCGTTCGACATTGCATACCAAATAATATGATGCGGGAATCTTGACATCACTGGTCCATCACTCGGACCACTGGCTGAAGGGGCAATGCGCTGCCCGATGCGTTTGCTGCGAGCTCAGGCGCCATTGCCCGGAAGGTCCCGGAGCTTGACTCGAAAGAGGAAGTAATCTGAGCCCAGAAAGTAGACGAAGAAAGCGGCCCCTGGACAGACCGACAGACCCATAGCCATCTTGAGGCCGCTGTTTCGCCTGCCTGCTCAACTTCGTGACCGAAGATTTCATGTCCTGCAGCAAGTTCGAGGGATTCCTCTGCAACAAAGTCTACATTCCTTGACGCTGGCGCGGGTCCTGATCATCCGTCCGACGACAGGCTCCACCAGAAGGGGAACGCCAGGAATCTGCAGATCAATCCATGGGGCAAAGGTAAAGGCAGCATGGCGCCACCCAACGCGAATTCTGCAGCCCCTAACGGCCCTAACGCAATCACCCCAACGGCACCGAACTGGAAAACGGCATCGAAGAGGGAAAGGACCAGCCGGCCATAAGTAGGCAGAGCCGGGCCACCTGGCAATGAGCGATGCCCCGAACGTGGGAGAAATCACTTGAAAACTGAATCTCTGAGAGCCCGCCTGCCACGACGCTGGCGTTACTGAACTTGAGTGACTCCTGCTGCATGTCCTCGAAAAAGGGACGGGACAAAAGTACTGAGTTTGAGTGGCTCCTGCTGCATGTCCTCGAAAAAGTCACGGGACAGAAGCCAGGCAACCCGCACACTGCATATTGCCCTTGCGGAAGCCTTTGCGAAAGGCCTTGTGCCAACCCACACGGCGTGGGCCAACTCGTCTGAATTTCCACACAATCACATCTCCGAGAAGTTGCCGTAAGATTGCCTTTAGCGACATACAAGGTGCCACACAGGCCCTGCCAGCAAAATCACAACCATGCTCATCATGCATGCCCAAGAAGCAGCACCTCACGGAAGCTAGGGCAAGAAGAATGCCCTTCTGATTCAAGCATCCACCTTGGTCCCAGCCCCCAGAAAGAGGCAGAACTGAGAAGGGCAGACGCATAGCCAAATGACGAACCCAGTGATGGCCACGCAGCAAGCCACAGGCTGCATAGCGAAGCCTTCTCTGACAGCTCGGCACCACGGAATAACAGCATCCGTGGCCCACCTCCCGCACTTGGAACACCTATCTGAGAAGCTGAAATGGGAAGTGAGGCAACGATCTGCACACGCTGCCCTGCCTTTTCCCACCGCGAAAAGCTTGTGCTCCAGACGTGAACATTCTGCAAAACAAACACCAAGAACGCAAATTGCCCTGACAAGAAAGCGCCACCATCCCTGCAACAAAAATTCTCATCCCTGGGCATCGGTACGGGGAAGTATGGCAGGCTTCCGCGCCGGTTCTCACGCAAGCCCTACTTTAGGCTCCATGACTCCCACGTGCCAACAGCAGCAGGAAGGTCGCCAGCATGGGACGCCGTGACGCCCTATCATCCTGGCAACGTCCACAGCAGGAGCCATATGACAGCCAAGATGGAGCGGAAGCCTCACCCTCAGGAACACTAATTATCATCAACCCTTGCTGGGAAGGGGCACCCAGCTTACGAGACGCAGTATCCGCGGATGCCCATGCCGCCCAGGAGCCGGGCTAAGCCGGCATGCGTTCCAGGACGGCCGCGCGCACAGCCGCCATAATGCGCCCACGCGGAAGCTCCATCGTCCATGGCTCTGCAAGACGAAGTCATCATCTGGGCGCTGAAGGCCGCCCCTCACATCTCGGATTGCCGAACACTCCCCACGTAAGTGAGAAGCCACTCGTCAACACTATCCTGGTCAAGAGGCCGCTGACAACGCCATACTTGACTCCAACGATGACTTATCACGCCAAACGCATCTGCAGGGGAGGAAGAAGGCAGGCCTTCAACACGCAAAGACTGCGGAGACACCTAAGCAGTAATTTTGATCCATGAATTAGCCAGCGGCGCGCCACGAGCCACGCATTGCTTCCAGCAGTCAATGCGAGCCTGGTACTCTTCGCGATGCGCCTGATCAAGGGCAGCTTGGATCACAACAGCTTGGCGCTGCCAGTCCCACTCCCAAGGAACACCTGGGGGCCACGCTGCCTGCACACGACGGTCAAGCCAAAGAGCGACACTACACCATAACTGATTTCGGTGCATGATACGGCCAAGCAATCGTCGTAAGCGGCGTGGCCAGACCTTGCCACCCCGCAGCTGCTTGCCAAGCTCTCAGGCCATGACCACACGCGGGAGAGATCCTTTACCTCGCAAAAGCCCGAAGAAATCAGGACCCTCCATGCGATTGCGGGCAGCCAGGAAAGCCTGTTCCAAGGTTGTGTTAAAAGCATGCCACTGGCGGTCAACCTGTGCACGAGTCAAACGATCTGGGCCTGGAGGGTCCACAATTAAATGTCAATAGGAGTGCGCCACCTCTTGACGCCACTGACCCTCAGAGAAATCACCAACGGGGCCATACCTGCGGGCGGGGACCATGTACGTGGCCTCCGTGGGAGAATGAGCTGGCCATCTGAAATCAAGATGAACTGCAAGATGATCAGAAAATGTTCCTCAGCGAACCAAGATATGGAGTGACAACCTGGAGCAGTGACAGCGTAGTCAATAGCACGGTGACCATTCCATCGAGTCGGCAAGTAAGCACCGGCAGGATCGCAAACAGTATGGGCCTGCAAATGGTGGCACTGACAAAAACTGAGTGTTCCCATCATCAAGCAAGCACCGCGTCCAAGCAGCCGGCTTGGCCTCCTCAGTGATGCGCGCAAGGCGCTTCTTTGACGCAACCCCAGATCTGCCTTCAGAAGAAACAGCTCGGCCAGAACCAGCTGCCGCACACTTCTTTTGGCCCGAAGATTAGCTTTGACCCGGTCCTTCAGTTGCGCAAGCTCTGCAGGATTGAGACGCCACAGCGACGTAAAAAGCTTCCTATCCGTTTCAGAAATGCTTGTCCGCACGCGTATGCAGCCACCAGAGCGGAGTACGGTAGCACGATGTTTCTTGCCTGAGCATCGATCTTCAGCATCACACTGGGCTCGAAGGCTAGCAGTGTTCCAGCAGGACGCACAGTTGAATGTTTCTTGTCAAAACGGAGCCCGCGCTCTTCCTCTTGCCACCCCGCTTTAGACCAGTAGCTGGCAGAACTTTGACGACCTTGTGGCCCAAGGCTTCAGCTTGCTTAAGCAACTTTTCGTGGACGAAGGTGCCCTTAACTCCGGCAGGTAGAAGCCCTGTTGCCGTCAGCCACAAAACAGGAGCGTCGCTTGCAAAGCGCTAAACTAGAGGCTGCCAAACTGGCCCCTGCATGACACTGCCGCAGGTGGCGCGTTGCAGGAGCACGCCAAGTCCTGCGAGGCATCGGAGGGAGCCCTTGAAAGCAAAAACCACACGTCCACTGCCCAGGTTGGCCGCCAGGGTCAGGAGACACCTGCGGGCCTCGAGGTTGGAGATGAGCAAAACTCGCCGATGGCTCATCAAGATGCTGCCTTTGAATTTGCCACCATCGGGCAGACGGGAGTGCTTTGCGAGCCGGTGCCTCCACAACACTTCCAAGTAACGCAGTCGGCGTCGGCAGCGGCAGGGTCTTCAGCCTTGGCAAGCGCATCCAAAGCTTCCTGAGCAAAGAGATGGCGAAGATGAACACGCTGAGCCCCAACCTTCTAAGGACTCCGTTTGCAACATCCACTCCCAACATTGTGACGTGAGCCTCTGCAGCTACCAAAGTTGGAAAGACGAACGGAAGTACTTTTGCAGGAAGCAAACTCCGACAAGTGAATTGACCCTGCCCTTGAGCAGGAAGCACCTGAGTTCGAAGGAGATTACCTGCACCTCTTAGGAGCCCCACCGCAAAGCAGAGCTTGGCTAACCTGGCCGCCACGTTCAAGCTGCTGACGGTAAACTGTAACCCGCCCAAGCGGATCAGCATCTTCAATGAACTGAAAATGTTGCTTGTCATACCACAAATAGATAATGGATACCTTGATCGCGACCGACTTCATTGAAGACCCAGACAGTAGAATCAGGGCCGCCAAACTAGACATGGACTTTGTGAGCCTCCGCCAAGGCCTGAAGCTCAGCTTGAGCCTGCCCAACATCCAGGGACCTTTTGGCAGTCAAGGTACTTTTTGAAAGTGGCCTCCTCATCCTGTAACACTCCACAATCATCAGGCCTGCCTTGGGCAACCCATACTGCTTCAAATTGAGCACGATTCTTGTTGATGGCTGCAATTGTAAGAGCCCGAAGTTGTCGGTGTGAGCACTGCCCACTATCGGACCCAGTGTC